CAGCAGCTGAACGATGATTCCAGGGGGCAAAGAAATTGTAGTGAAAAACCCAGGGCTTGGAGTCAGCAGAGCAGAGCAGTGAGGACACCCTGGTGCTGCAGAGCAGGGCTGGGGAGCAGAATGAGGTGGTTCCAGAGGGCTCTGCCCAGTGCACAAGCCAGACCCAGGATGGGGTTGGCAGCTGGTGACATGCTCCTGTCCCGCTCGGGGCTGCTCTGCTGCCGTGGGACACAGCAGGACCCGCCGGAGCCATCACCCAAAGCCTCTGCACAGCCAGGAGCTGTGCCCACACCAAACCCTCAGCACCAGCACCAGGGCAGCACCTCCTCCCCCTGCCCCCAGTGCTGGGACACGCTCCCTTACAGGCATGGGGATCTTGGAGAGCTCTTTGCCAATGCAGTTCTTCATGATGCTCCAGAGGTTAAGGCTGTAGTTGGGTTTGTCAGGGATGCGGCTCCGTCTCCTTTTCTTCGGCAGGAGATCTTTGCAAGTGGACTCATTGTAGCTGCTTTGATTTGAGCTTTCAAAGACCTGCAGGAGCAACAGAAGAAACGTAAGTTAAGCTGGACTTGCCCAAAATGACCCGAGCAGAGCCGGCAGCTCCCGGGAGCAGCAACCACAGGCCAGGAGATACTATGGGCACTTGTGCTGGGGAGAAGCACATGTGGGGCATGGGGGAAATAACAGTGCCCCCAACACTCTCATGCTTTCCTTGGAGGGGTTTGGGAGCTGCTCTAAGAGTGCTGACATCTGTCCCCAGCTGTGGCTCACGAAGAGCAACCAACTCTGCTCCATCCTGGAGGCACAGACAGAGAGTTCCTCCAACACCCCCCTCCCCTCCTGCTCCTCTCCCCTGGTTCCATCCCACAGGACCGTCTCTCCCACCCTGCCCGGCCAACTCACGCTATCCTCCAGGGTCCAGTCCTCAGGGTGGCCCTCGCTGGCCCCACTCAGGTTACTGCCCGAACGCCTGTGGGGAAGGACGTACAAGTAAGGGCAAAGAATGGAAGAGAAGAGCTGAGGCTGGTGCAGCACAGCCAACATCACCCACAGCCTCACCCTGCACCACCCCAGGGTGCTGCAGGGAAGGCATCAGGGTGACAAGGGCCATGCACAGATGCTGGGAGGGGATGCTCAGTATGGTATGACCCAGCCTGGGGGCAGCAAGTCCAGTGATGTGACCATGCTGCAGACCACGGGTACCTCCAGCCCAAACAGCTGTCCAGGGAGGCATAAGGGCAGGTCAAGCCAGACAAAGACCGGTTGCACTATGCAACACGTGGCCCTGGGGCAGGGGCTTGTACCTGTGGTGCTTGGGGTCTGCCGTTACAGTGATAAAAGCTGGTGCATCCTCCATGGCATCAAAATACTCTGTCTCTTCATCTTCATCACTGGCCTCTCCTTTCGCAGACTGCACACTCCCTGTTGGCACAGAGGGTTTGAGGCGCCCAGGTGCTGCTGGTCCCCTTTAGAACCAATTGAGCACGAGTCTGTCCCCAGCACCCAACCCTCCACCAGCGATGTCCCCTCCAACACTGGCTCTGTCTACAGCTTGCCCCCTCCTCTCCATCCTACTCCACAACAGGAAGATGCCATATGGATTTCCAGCTCTTAGAAGCAAGGATGTGCCCTGGCAGCACGTATCCTGTTCCCAATGCAGGCACACAAGGGCTCCCTGCTGTGCTTGGGAGCACCTCCAAATGCCACCTGGACAGACCAGAGCAGCCACCCAGCTCCAGCCACCCCACCAGAGCGGCCCATCGGGCTCCGCACACGGCTCAGCTTCCTGGCAGGGTTCAGCAACCTCCTTCCCTGCATCATTCCCAAACTCCTCCAAAGGGGTGACAGGGTTGGGCTGGATTTGTACCCATCCCTACAGCAGTGTTCCCCTGCTCTCCCCACTATGCCACAGAGTCATTTGGATTAGAAAAGACCTTTAAGATGATCGAGTCCAACCGTCCCCCAGCACTGCCAAGGCCACCACTAAGCCATGTTCTTAAGCACCACATGTCAGCATCTGTTAAATACCCTTAGGGTGACTCCACCGCATCCCTGGGCAGCCTGTTCCAGTGCTTGACAGCCCTTGTGATGAAGAAATTGTTCCTAATATCCAATCTAAACCTCTCCTGGCACAGCTTGAGGCTGTTTCCTTGAGGCCATACAAGAACAAGGGCAGAGCCTGGCACTGCCATCACCATCCCAACAGCAACGATTCTCCCCCTGCAGTCTATCCATCCTTTAAAAATGAAACAAGGCCCAGTTGGCAGGATTTGGCACTGCTGCTTCCCACAGGGAAGAAGATTTGGCAGGAATACAAAAGCTATTTGATTTTATTGCCCCGTAACTCCTGTGTGCAGCAAACAAGTCCTGGTGGAGCCACCAGCACACAGCTAGGAACCCCGGGATTCCTCCAGGCACCTCCAGCAGGCAGAGAGGTGCCCACCGGTGAGGGTTCTGGCTACCAAAACAGTCTGGGGTCAGCCCTTTCCTGCATCCATGTCTTGGGGACATCCCCAAGCAAGGAGCAGCAAGGTGTAATCACAGAATCCCAGCCTGGTTTGGGTCGAAGGGACCTCAAAGCTCCTCCAGCTCCAACCCCTGCCACAGGCAGGGACACCTTCCACTAGAGCAGGTTGCTCCAAGACCCTGGTTCCAAGCGGACCTTGAACACTGCCAGGGATGGGGCAGCCACAGCTTCTCTGGGCACCCTGTGCCAGCGCCTCAGCACCCTCACAGGGAAGAGCTTCTGCCTCAGAGCTCATCTCAGTCTCCCCTCTGGCAGGTTCAAGCCATTCCCCTTGTCCTGTGTCTACAGGCCCTTGGCCAAAGCCCCTCTCCAGGTTTCTTGTAGGTCCCTTAAGGTACTGGAAAATACAGGATCTTTGGAACATGATGGATTGGAAGATATTGGAAGTAATGGGATCTGTAAAACTATCCCATGCGTATACAGAGTACTGCTCTTCGCATCATTCCCACCCATGAGGACTTACTGGGAGCAACCAAGCAGAACCCCGCCCTGTTCATACCGCAGGGCTCTGCCCTGGCCCCTGCCCTGGTTCTCACCCTTGGTGGTGCTGGTGATGCCCGTGGTGCTGGAGGAGAGGTCAGGGGCCCCGCGGCAGGCTCGCTCCAAGCTGTTGTGCTGCTTGGCTAGCTGCTCGATGGTCTCCTCCA